TAAGTACCAAATTTATTTCACTGCAAACAGTAAATTTTGTTTTATAGAAATAAAAATACTTCATTTTTCAGCTGTATAAGCTTTGTTTTGATATACAATAAATAAAAAATTAATTCCTTTTAATTCCTTGCATTTCCATACATATGCATGTTACTTACAGGAAAAGGCAGCTTAATACAGACCCTTAATACAGATAATGTGACCCCATTTCATCCAACAATTTGAGTTCTAGTACATTAAAAAAAATTTGCTATGTGCAGAAGTTTTTGCAATTGCGAAAACCATTTTGAATTTACTTTTATGTTAGATTATAGCAAAGGCAGCATGAGTTACCCAATGTTCTGCACAGTAAAAGGTACAGAATGGGCAATGCATGTTACTTCTATGTATTAAGGAGAAAGGAAAGAAAGGAGGCCAAGAGCATAACAGACATTGCCTCTTGAGAGAATACAACAATAGATGCAGTACAGCAGAAGTATGTCAAAACACGTATGATTTACAATAATGGCACTTCATAACATAAATGGAGTACGTACAGTGTGACATTTGTTATTGCTAAAAAGCTTTGTGTTTCAAATTTAATCAAGAAACTTGGCGGTATAAAAGAAGTGTGTTGCCACTCAGCAAAATGCAATATATTTGACTTTAGAATTTAATAAACAAACTGAGCAATTTAAAAGAAATGTTGTCACTGTCCAAATTAAAATATTTCCCCCTACTACATGACAGCATGTTGTTGTTCAGCAAAAGTAAAGTATTTAATTTTGCATCCCAAATTTATTCTGTTATTATCAAACTAACTGATTTAGAAGCTATAAATGCAAATTCATTTCAACTATGATTAGTTACTAAACTGAATTTGTGAAATTTCATTAGCTAGATTCATTAAAACCAACTCTACATATAAAAAAGAGTGTCCATTTATTTGTGTGTGGGGAATTAAATTTAAAAATCAAAGATAATAAAACAACATAGATTATTTTAGAAGTGCAAAAATTTAAAGGTAAACTGTATTTATGAAAAAATTGGAATTTAAAATATACAAACTTTTAATACTGGTTATCAGTTAAAAATTACATGTATGAAAAAGGTCAGTAATTTTTTTATTATTATTATTCTTACATTTCAGTGTAGGCTTCGGCAGGTCACCGAGTGACCCATTTCATAATTTCAAGTGACTCACTTAAGTTCGAAGAATAAAATACATAAAAATAAATTATAAAACAAATATGAAGCAAACCCTTAAAGAATACATTAAAAAATAAATCATAAAAATAACATTTTAGTTTGATTACAAAGTTGCAGTAACAAATATGTATTTTTATTTTTAAAACAATCTGATCAGAACACCATGATTTACTTATATTGCTTTTAAATCATGTATGTTTTTGCTGCATTTCATTTAAACTTATTTCGGTTGATCTTTGGATTATGGTAACTTGGCGATTTTTTGGTGACCAACTCTGCTACAGCAACCCTCTTTTTTTTTCGCTGCCATTTTGTCTTCACAAGGAAGACATTTCTTTTCTTTTTATTTACTGAACACTTTTTTCCAACAATCTACTAGCGAATTACACTTATGCTAGAAATTTTATGTAACAAAACTGCTTATCATGACAACTATTAACTGCAAAATTGGGAAAAAGTGCACAATTCAACTCCCTTGCACGTTTTTCCGAATAGCACATACACATAAACCATTACACGTCGACTTATTTTTACTTAAAAAAAATCCCAGAATTCAACAAAATGGCATTGCACACACTCTTAACTTTATTCATCTACACTGCTATTTTCTCATAATTACAAAAATTTGCACGAAAATGCAAAAAATTCTGTGAATCTTTAAACTCGGTAAAAAGCACATATATGAAATTACCTGATCGCGAAAAAGTATATACCTTTTCCAAGGATGAATTTCCACATATAAATAAATAAAATATCCAAAAACTTTTACCTCTGAATTATCTATTATATTTAAACGTCACCAACGAATTCATACCGCAAACATTACAAATGGTTACAAATACTTAGTTTCAAATATTTAAATTATTTCTATACACGTTTACTTCAACTGAAACGTATACCAAATTCCTACAAACATAAATTCACAAAATAACTATCATTTAATTAAATATCACTAAAACCATGTACACGTCGACTCATTTTTACTTTAAAAAATCCCAGAATTGCACAAAATGGCATTGCGCACACTCTTCACTATATCCATGTACACTGCTTTTTTCTCATAAATTAGAAAAAATTCACAAAAATGCATGAAAATACTCAACGTATTCTACTCAAACGTATTCCAAAATACTACAAACATATAACTCACAAAATCACGATCATTAAATTAAAATATAATTAAATTAAAAACACTACTTAAATATAAATAAGCACATACATAAATTAATAAAATTAGATTAAAATCCTAATTACTTTAAACTAAATCATTGCTAATAACAATTTTCCAGTAATCTCATATTAATTATTTACTCCTTACATTTAGAACAATGCATAAAATTATATCCTCAAATGATTAAAAATACTAACTTACCTATCTTCAGAATCTTCATTACGTGGCATGCACACTTCCACTATTCACACAACACACATGAAGCTTAATACAAAATAATAGTACTACAGTTTTTCAAATCCCCCCCCCCGCTTTTCCAATTAAAGAACGGTAATTCGTCCATTAATGTCACTTGACATACGTCATGATCTCTCATTTCCCTGACACAAAATAATGCGTAATCGGAACTGAGTACTTCTCACATTATTACCAAAGTCCTAGGTAGTAACCTTTATCGCCTCCAAAATGTCGCCAAACTACCAGTTACCATATTCCAAAGATCAGCCCTTATTTCATTTCAACGTGAGATAAGATCTTCCAATCCAAAGTGCATTTCTGGGACTGCCGATTGCAATAAAAAATGAGAGATGCACAACTACATGTTAACAGCAGTCCTATATGCAAAATTTCAACATGCTATTGGCTAATTGTTTTTGAGTTATGCGAGAAGTAGTTACTAAAACCGTTGCAAGATACTGGTGTTAGTTCTGCAGTTTTCTACAGTCTTATTCGAGGTTAGTAAAATTTTACCCAACCCAACCTGAATTTAAATAAGGAGGAAATCACTATCAAGATGAGGAGGATTCCTATCTTGGAATTTGAGGTAATGCTGGGCACTTGGGTATAACAAGAATTATTGGAATAAGACAAAGACAGAAGAATGATTCATAGTGTTTCATACACTGTCTGGCAGAATGCATTAGAACTTCTGTACCAAATAGTAAACTGTGATGAGAAATGGGCTCCTGACAAGAATGCAAAATGACAGGCAAGGAAATTTTCCGGAATCCACTTGAAAGTAAGGTTTACATTACTGTGTGACCGATGGGATTTCAGAGAACTGATCTATTGTAAACTGCTAAACAAGTCAAACATTAAATAAGAAGATGAACTGCTAACAGATGAACAATCTTCATAATTCTTAGAGAGAAATGTGCCCAATACTGGGAGTTTAAAGAAGTTGTAATCTATCAGGATAATGCAATATTCCACATATCTGTTAAGACTAAGCACAAGTTTCAGAGCTTGGAGTGTAACTCATACAGTCCACCTGCTCACTGGATATTGCTCCAATATAACTTTTTTTCTGATTTTCATGCTAGATAATAAAACTTCTTTGATAGCAAAGGAGGCAAATTCTACAGGAGAGAAATAGATAAGTTGCCAGTAAATGGCAATGCTAAATGTAATAATGGATAATATACTGCAGATACAAAGCTAATAAGTATGTTCTATATAACATAATAGAATTCTTCCATTCAAACTCACATGAACTTTTATGTACACCTAATGTAACTATACACTTCTATTATACAGTTTCTAAATATAAACTAAATACAGTCAAAAGTCGTTAATCCGGACCTCAAAGCTACAAACCTTCTGCGCATGCATCAACGCATAATGCGTAATACTTTTACACATGCGCATATGCGTGTGTGCATGTGCATAATACATTTATGCATACGCGTTTAATGTATAACGGATGGTATAAGCTAAGCTAAAATTATCTAATTATCTATTTCAGTTAATGTTGCAGATTGCGTTGTTCCTTAATCTTCGAATTGGATCCGGCTTATTATTTTTTGCAGACTGTTAGAGCAATTTTAAAAGTAAGCTTGAACTTTCGATTATTCCAATAGAATTTCCGATATATATTTACTAATATGTAAAGGATCTACAAAGCGAAAGTATGTTTCAATGTCCATCAAACAAAAAGTGGAATTGCTGCAAAAAATAGATAAAGGCATATCCTTTGTTTCTCTGACCATTCTGAAATCTGTTTATCAATTTCACTCTGCTCTGCAGAAGGGGGGGGGAACGTCGCAGCGCGCAATGAACTGGAAGTTGATCTGTCAGCGCTATCCTTATCTTCAGGGCAGATGTTTTTATTTTATTCGGCTTATAATTCCTTACTAAATGTTGTATTTCATCTCGATGTATTCCGTCTTTGATATGATTTAAATCAAATTCCTCGTCATTATAAATATCATGAGTACACATCAAATAGTTTTCTGGTTGCAATTTTCTAATTTCAACAATGTGTAATGTATGCTTTACACATGTGCGCGTTAAAAGAAATGTTTAATAAAGTAAACAAATAAATATTAAGCTTTTTTTTTTTTTTTTTTGTAAATTTTGATACCCTTTAGATCATAATTGCTCTTTATTTCATAAATTACGGTTTCATACTTTTAATTTTATAATTTCTGAATGCCATCTTACCAGATTTAAACTGATGATCTATAATCCGTAAAAATCGATAATCCGGAATCGTCGAAATCCCGACAAGTCTGGATTAAAGACTTGACTGTATTACTAAGTGTTGCATGTTTTTCAAAATCCCTGAACTACAAAGTAAAATTGAGATTTAAAACATATATTGTTTAACAGAACAAATTAAGTAGCAGTAATTATCATTTACCGGCATTCAAGTACTTTGTCTTCAGAAGCTGGAGAATCTTTGATTTCAACTTTTACAGATGGACCTGAAGGTTGGGTAAGTAATAGATATTTTCCACTGATTTGTGGGGCAGGTAATAAAGCAAGACGAGGTGCCTGACGCTGAGAAAGAAGCATTCCATCTTCTGATATCAACATAAAAGCTCTGTTGTGAAATAAAACACAAAAAAAAAAAAAAAAAATTGGAATACATTTTGCAATCATTTAACATTTATATGAATATTACATTTCAAGAATATTTTTACAAATATTACATTCAAAATAAAGAAGCATTCCATCTTCTGATATCAGAATAAAATCTCTGTTGTGAAATAAAATGCAAAAAATTGCAATACATTTTGCAATTCTTTAACATTTATATGAATATTGCATTTAAAGATTTTTTTAATAAATAAAGTGCATTTGAATTTCTCCATTACTTTATTCAAGATGTTACTATTTTCATTTTTGACAAAATAATATCTACAATAAGCACAGCTTGTTGCCAGTTGAGAACAGGAAAGCTCTTTCTTTCACTTTCAGTATTATAAAAATGAGTTGATCAGTACAAATGGCACCGAGCCTCTTATCACTCTAGGAAATTAATTTTTGTATACCTCTGGCATACACCTCTGCCACCAGCAGAAGTATATGATGAATGCATACAAAATATTGATAGTTCATTAACAGTAGATGCATTCTGCAACCAACAGCCCAATGAGAAATGCAATTACTACTTATTGGTGCTCTTCCTTGCCAGGAAAATACTTTCTACTCGAAAACTACTGTACAGACATGCACAGAATTCGACAATTTTAAGAAAAAAAAAGAAAACTTCGAAGTAATTGGTCGACTTATACACGGAGCCTAAGAACAAAAGATACACTGCCACCGATCGATGACACATCAGCGATCTTGATTATTAATTACATCATTCATACAGAAGAAACACAAAACTTTTATTTATCCTTTCCACTTTATAAGCAATAAATTACCTCCCATGATTATTTTCAAATGAAAAACATTGCCAAAAAAGACAGCATTTCTGGAAGGTATTCTTGTTCGCACCCAGAAAAATGGTTGGATGGACGACACTCTAACGACTGATTGGTTTCAAAACGTATGGTGCAAAAAACCAGGTGAACTTTTTAAGAAACCTTTGCTTTTGGTTTGGGATATGTTTTGACCACATTGTTCAGAAGTTGTAAAAAATGATACAGAAAGTTAAAAAAGAACACTTTCTGTAATCCCAGGAGCACCAATATCCATTTCACAGCCACAGAATGATAGCATAAATAAGTTGTTCAAGGTGAATATGCATGGGCAGAATGGATACAAGCCGAATTGCCTACTAAATCCAAAGGTGGCAATATTAGAAAGTCGGATATAACTTTAGTTGCATTGTGGGTGAAAGACGCTTAGAACATGATTCCAGCTGAAATGATAATAAACATTGAAAAAGTGTTGCATTTCCAATAACTTGGATGGCACAGAAGATGATGCAATCTATCCAAGTGATCATAATGACACTAGCTGTGATGAATCAAGTGATGAAATTTATGATGACTTACTAATGACTGAAAATGAATTCCTGGATTTATTTGCAGATTCTGGCTTTGAATCAGAATTTGAAAATTTTGTATATATTTTAAAATTTCATCATGTGCTAAAATGGAAATAAACAAAAATTCACTAAAAAGTGAGTGTAATTTTATCAAGTAGGTGTATCAAGGCTGCGATAGTGCTGCTCATGCAACAAATTTGTTTTTCCAAAAATTTTTTCTCAAAAGTCCAGGAATTGACTTAACAAGTGTATATGTGAGTTATTAAAGTAACTTACATATGCACTTATTTATTGGCTGTGAGTTACTTAAGTAACTCACAGTTACTTTAGTAAGTCACACAGTTATTTTAGTAACTCACAGCCAATAAATTTCCCCAGTTTACTTACAGTTACTTTAGTAACTCACAGCCAATAAATTTCCTTCCAGCTTTGTCATGGAAGATGTTAATATTTTAATTAGAAAGCACTTTAATGACAATGAAGAGTTTCATCAAGTAGTTATTGCCCTTTTTCAAAGAATTGTCACTAGAAGCGATTGATAACTGTATGCAAAATTTGTCTCCTAATATTATAAATGCATCTGTGCGATAGGTGCCTATGTGGAATAATAATCCAATGTATATACTTCGAAATAAAACATTTATATTTACCTAGTCTCTTTTATTCTTTTAATAATTAGCAAATAGTTACTGCATTCTGGATATGCTTCATATAATGTGTTTTTAATAATGATTTCATAAAACAGAAACAAAGATATTAATTTTTATGCAGGGGTTTAAAGGTTTTATTTCAAGAATTCTACAAGAGTAAAAGGTTTCAAAATACTGCTCAATTGATCTAGTGATTATTTTTAGGTTAATTGCTTTCAATTCAACATTCCCGTATCAAGAAATCGGAAAGAAAATAGAGGTGAACACAATTTTCAAAGTGCCTATTCGCAATAAAGAATATATTACTTTTTTACTAAAATGAATTACTTTAAATACCAGTTCAATACAAAATTAATCAGAATTGAAATAATAATAACTGATATTAGAAACTATTATATTAATGGTTAAAATGAAACAAATAAACTGATTTAAGAACAATTTTAAAGTGAATCTGAAAAATAGTATAAATAATATTAAAAAAAGGGCTGAATTCAAATTTCAGATCTGAAGAGTAAGTGAATTCTAAAATACATAAATAATTACTTTTCAAACTATAATATATGCATTGAATTAAAAACTAGATAAAATATCAATAATTTTATAGTGTTAAGAAAGATATCATTTTGTTTGAGATGTCAATTTAGGGTATTAAGCTGAAATTTAAGTAATTAGTTAATTGTAATTAAATAAAATTTTCGGTACTTCTCTTATATGCACCCTCAGGTAACCAAATGCAGCGATATGTGTTGTGCGCTGATTTTGACACGATTGCCTGTTCTGTGATGGTTTTGGGGGTAATGTTGGTTTCTATGGCAACCATTTTTACGTGGAAACTCGGATTTCAGTTGGTTTCAGCTGCTAGTTGGTTCGTGTGGTATGTGGTATTTAAGTGAATTATGACTGATTTATGTAGGCTGGACTTTGTATGCTCTGCGTCTCAGAAGATAGGAGAGAAAGATAAAGTGGTGGAAGTTGATGAGTCGAAGTTTGGCAAAAGGAAATATCATTCTGGCCATCCTGTTGAGGGGTAGTGGGTATTTAGATGTGTGAAAAAGAGGGTCTGGGATATTATTTATGGTGGCTGTGCATGATAGAAGTAAGGAAACTCTGATGCTGAGTATTAAAGAGTGGATTGAGCCTGGTACAACTATTTTTTCGGACGGCTGGAAATCCTACAAGGATTTAGGAAAAGAAGGTTTTGAACATTTATTTCTGAAAGATAGTATCAATTTTGTGGATAGTGAGTCTGGCTGTCATATAAATACAATAGTGATTATGTGGCGGCATGAAATTGGTATTTCTGCTGTTCGAAAAAGCATTCATTCATGGTAAGTGCATTTTATTTTATTCTTGTTCTTATTTTGTAGAATGTTATGTTCATTGTTTTTTTAGTATGAATTTCTGTCGTTATTGTTGTTTTTTGAATTGCTTGAAATTTATTTCAGTTTATTTTGTTAATTAGTGCTCCATGCCTAGATTGTGCAATTCGTAGATGTTTTTTAAAGTTGAAACAGAACGCTGTGTACATGGTATTCTTGAAATTTATTGTTGTTATGTTAATTTATTAAAGTGAGGTGTGCATAGTTCGTAGATTCCTTTGCTACCTAGATTGTGCAATTCATAGATTTTTTTTAAGTTTAAAAACACAATGCTGTGAACATGATATTCTTTGAAATTTATTGTTGTTATGTTATTTTATTTAAGCTACGTGTGTAGATTCCTTCACTGCATAGACTGTGCAGTTCTGTGATGATTTTTTTAAGTTAAAACATATCACTGTGTACATGGATTCCTCTGAATTATTTTAGGTTAGAAACTTTAAGGGTACTTACGTATTATCGCAACCAGGTTGGCGCTATTTGTAAGTTTGAGTAAAAAAGTATGAATAGAAAGAAAATGTACATTTATTAATTACAGATAATTTTAATACAGTTTTTTATATTATTTTGTTGTTTTAAAATATAAAATAGCAATTAAACCCTTCCGGTTTCGAATTTGAATAAGTTGCAGAATTATTTTTTCGGCGGAAATCGTTTGGCTATTGCTTTTAGCACTGATTGAAAACCGTATTCACCATAACCATGTACACGTCAACTTATTTTTACTTAAAAAAAATCCCAGAATTGCACAAAAATGGCATTGCGCACACTCTTGACTTTATCCATGTACACTGCTATTTTCTCATAAATTACAAAAATCTGCAGGAAAATTTTGTGAATCTCCACATGGTCTTTTTACAAAACTATGTATAACATGTAGGGTTGCCGTAAGTAGGGTCGCCAAATTTGGCAATTTATGCGAATTTTGGCCTGGTTGCGTTAATATGTAAGTACCACTTTAAGTTTTTGTTATCTAAATTTTTTGCTTTTGTTTTGGATTTTTAGCTTAAATTGTGTGTTCAAAATGTGGTTTTTGCAGACAATTTAGGCTTAAAGTTTGAAATGTAGACAAAAAATGTAGGTAGTAATATGGCAGCATGGAGTTTCTCACCAAAAATGTTTGGCGAGAAATTTGTCTCCAATCGAGGGTGTATATGAGAGTAGTTCCAAATTTTCTTTAACTAATCTTCCTATTAAATAAATTTCACTTTTACCGATCCAAGAGGCCATTAACTTCTAATCCTGCTTTAGTACATTTTCCTTGTGAAACTTCATATCCTTTCATGGACTTAATAGGGAAAAAGTATATTTTGGCAATCTTCCCTACCCTGACATATGTTCTTTTCTTCTTTCTCCAAATAAAAACCCCTAATGCACCCAGTGCTACAACAGATACTGCAGCATAGGTTTTCCAAGTTTGTGCCATTTTGAAAACCTGCAATGAAGAATATGACTTAATACAAAGTTGACTTAACATTGGCAGATACACAATGGAAACATACGCATATATATATATATCAAGCAGAGTAGTAATTACAATATTGAAGAATCAATTTGGTCTAGAAAACATCTTGTGCAATATGCTGCAAAATAAGTAAAATAGAAATTGTAGTAAGCTCGCCTAAAAGTTACCAGGAGCTGTTGCTCCAAAAAGTTCAACACGTTTTAAAAAATTAATACATATGAAAATCAAACCATTAAACATGTAAAACATTAAAAAACAGAATCAATATATATATATATAATGCATTATAATTCAGAATGTAACATTTAATGTAATATTTAATTTATGCAACATTTAGTGTATATATAATGCATTATAATTTAGAATGTAACATTATATAATCATGATAATCAATAATTTGGTAAAATCTTAGGATAGCCTAAACCCTTGGTGACAAACTGGGAAGTAAGCACTGCATCATGCGTTTCTCAAAAACACCAACTTGAGAATTTCTCAAAAACACCAACTTGAGAATAACAAGTCAAAGAATTCCACAAACTCAGTATCCATGTACACATCGACCTATTTTCACTTAAAATACATCAGAAAATTGCACAAACTTGGCATTAAACACTCCCTTTGTCCATGTACACATTGATACGCACCATAACCAAAATCATTCGTGCCAAAGGTGTGAGCTTTACTAGGATTCAGCCATTAATTTCATAGATTTATATTGCAGTAAATAATATGCTTTTTTTGACTGTATTAAAATGTTTGAATACAAACAAAATCATATCATTTGTAAAGTTAAGTATTTCACATTCATTTTAGGTCTTTATTAGCTATAAACATTATTATGAAAGATGTTATTTCTTTCAAAAATAGTCTACACAGATTGGGAATCATCTTGCTTTGATATATAGATTTGAAATTCTCTTGCTTTGATATGCATTCAGATACTTATACAGTACAAAGTCCATAATACGGACTCGTTGGGACTTCGGCGATTCCGGATTAGGGGTTTTTCTGGATTATAGATCATCAATTTAAATCTGGTAAGATGGCATGCAGAAATTATACAATTAAAAATATGAAATCATAATTTAATGAAATAAAGAACAATTATGATCTAAAAGGGTATCAAAATTTACAAAAAAAAAAAAGCTTAATATTTATTTGTTTACTTTATGAAACATTTCTTGCAACGTAAGTTGTTTAAGATGCTTCCACAAAAAATTCAAAAAGTTCCTTTTTCTTGTGCCATATATAGTGGACTTTCCAATGCTTCTCATATAATTTTGAGACAGATAGGCCTTTATTCACTTTTTGCAGCAATTCCACTTTTTGTTTAATGGACATTGAAACATGCTTTCGATTTGTAGATCCTTTGGCAGCTCCAGAATTGGAAACTCTTTTTGACATAATCGAAAGTTCAAGCTTAATTTTTATAAAATTGTTCCAACAGTCTGTAAAAAATAATAAGCCGGATCCAATTAGAAGATTAAGGAACAGCACAATCTGCAACATTAACTGAAATGCCTTAGATAATTTTAGACTAGCTTATACGGTCCGTTATACATTAAACGCGCATGCGTAAATGCATTATGCGTTTACGCATGCGCATAGAGTTTGTAGCTTTGAGGTCCGGATTACAGACTTTGTACTGTACATTTTCATAGTTCATTATATAGTTTCATATTAAACACAGTACTTTCCACTTAATATGATCTTGTTAATGTTATCATTCAGCTATATCTCTTTGTACACAGTAAACAAATATACTTCAAAGACAAGAAAGGTATCTACAATTTTTGAAACATAATTCAGTCAAAAAAAGGATCTGCTTCTTCAACTAACCATTCCATCTAATAATTTACATGCTTCAGGAACATTTGCACAGCTCTTGAAGCACATTGTACTTCTTTCAGGAAATTAACTACCCATAATTTAATTGTGAATCAAGGACCCATTACAATTATGGCAGAATATTAGTGGCATGAGAACAGCAGAATCCTTTATAACATGAAAAATTTGGATAGCACTATAAATGTATCATTAAATACTGCAACTGCCAAGTACCAGGATCTCATTCAGAAAATATACTGAAGGACTGTTTTAAGTATGGCAACCTTTAAATAAATGATGAAAGAAAAGAAAGAAAATGTGAGAACTACTCCAACTAGAGAGCATAGGGTAGAGTAGACTTTAAGGTACCCCTTGTATTATGGCAAAGTTGTTGTTTGATTTATTGCCAAGTTGTTTTTTCATTTATGGTAGCTGAGTAGCTGAATGTTATGGAAACCCTATTGTGACGTAATCAGGTGCATGATTCTGGGAAATTTTGTATCATGGGGATGTTTTGTAAGCGTTTTTGTGGTGTGTGTTAAAACCGTTTAGATAGATTTGAATGGGTTTGTAGGAAGAAAGGTTCAGATGGTCACTATGTGAAGTGGTTCGATCAGAAAGAGTACCTGGTTTGAAAAAAGTCATTTGTGTATGATTTAGATTTTGATTTTTACATGGCTCTGGGTGTACGAAGTGAACTCGAAAATCCTGGTAAGTGAATATTTGCTTTTGGTAATGCTTAAATGTATAACATGTTTTTCCTTTTTTATGTTATTTTATTGTTTGGTTTAAAATGTATTTTATTGAGATTACGTATTTTTTGTTTGCCTATATTGTAGACTTTGATGCTCCTTTGACTTTTTAAGTGAAAATATATCGATGTGTACATGGACAAAGTAAAGAGAGTGCACAATGCCAGTTTGTGCAATTCTGGGATTTTTTTACAAGTGAAAATAGGTCGAGGTGTACATGGATAAAGTTAAAAGAGTGCGCAATGCCATTTTTGTGCAATTAAAGGATTTTTTTTTAAGTGAAAATAGGTCGACGTGTACATGGATAAAGTCAAAGGAGTGCGCAATGCCATTTGTGTGCAATTCGGGTTTTTTTTTTTTTTTTTTTTTTTTTTTTTTTTTAAGTGAAAATAAGTCAATTTGTACATGGATACCGAGTTTGTGCAATTGTTTGTCTTGTTATTTTGGCTTCGTGTAGCGGCGGCAACTTCGCAAGCCAAAACAACCAGTTAAAGCATTGCACAAAATCGGTATCCATGTGCCGCGAAAAATCGCCAAGGAGTACTCTAAACTATACTTTTACCGAAAGCATATAGTTGATGTTTGAGTGGATATTTATAACAAGATTTTGTACTCTTTTGTTATCAGAAGCAGATTCAGAAACGTACGTATGAATGCATGCTTTCAGGTGTATATGTTTGTATGTATGGATGTGTGTATATATATATGTATTTACTAAAGAAATAATGATTATATTATCTCCTAATATAAATTTAGTAGAACATATCAAAAGGTTTTTTTTTTTTTATGATTCACATTCATTTTCAGAATTAAATTTCCTACTACCGGATTTCCTCTTTTGATACATTCTACTAAATTTATATTAGGAGATAATTTATAAATTTAGTAGAACATATCAAAAGGTTTTTTTTTTTTTATGATTCACATTCATTTTCAGAATTAAATTTCCTACTACCGGATTTCCTCTTTTGATACATTCTACTAAATTTATATTAGGAGATAATATAATCAATATTTTGTTAGTAAATAAATTATTATTATCTTAATTTGTAGCTATTGTGCATGCATTAGAAAAACGTATTTTCAATTTCAATGAATTTTAGTTCATTCAATATATATAAGTGTAATCACAAAAGTATATATAATGTAAAAAGCTAATTGTTTTCAGACTTTTCTTATGCTGTTACTAAAAAATGAGCCTATTTCATACTCTTTAGTCTGTCAAATAGCTCGTTAACAGCGAAAATTACTTTTTTCCTTTTCTAATTTTCCTCCTCGTTCCGACAAGACAATTAGCCAGAAATTAATTAATTTCCATTCACTAGTTAGTATATTCAAAATTTTAACAGATGTTTTCACTCACATAAGAACTCCGCAAAAAACGTCCCTCAAACATTTTTAGTCCCTTCCACGTCCTGTAATAATTCAAAGTTAACCCCGCTGCCGATAACGAAATTTCGGACACGCACCCCTTCTGAGTGAGACACATAAGAGAACACTTTAACAACATCCCACTAGAAAGAACGTTAATTAATGCATTTTCTGGCCTTCTATATCTTGATGTATATACATATTTCAAATTTTCAATTTTTATTTGATTTATTTTTGCAAAGATAGCATTGTTATGTTTCTTAATTTTCTCATGTTTATTTCAATTACTTTGAGTTCTATTTCATAATTACAATTAAGATTACTGCTGTTTTTTTTTATAAAAATAGTCTTGAACTAACATAAAAGCAAAGGTGTCGGGGAACATTTACTCAAGTATCTTGTAAATTTTACTACATAAATTGCTTTTCACTCGAACTCAAAATTAATAAAGAATCTTATATTAGCGTAAATGCTTCATTCAGAATGAGTTCTTGGGTACTCTACTTTGGTTATAAATCCCATCACTTCACGGAAGTACAATTTTCCAAATTACATTTACAATTTCACGGAACTATAATTTGCCAGTTTGGCATAATCATTCTTACTTGAGTAAAAGACGAAATACCTTCACATTTATTAATTATTGTTCACTGAATGAAAGTTGGTTTGTTCCCCTTGAAAAGTCAACTAATTTCCAATCAATAGCGATAATTACTTTTTTAATTAGTAATTTCTTTTTCAAAGTTTGAAATTTGTTATTCATGATTTAAATTCAAGTCCCCGTAAAACGTTTTTTTCATAATTTACATCCAAGTTACATTAAAACACAATTTTTGGAATTAAACTTTCTACATATGGGTTCCCACGTTTTTGATACTTCATAATAGGAGATATATCATAATAGGATAAATTCATAATAGGAGATACTATAATCAATATTTCTTTAGCAAATAAATTATTATTATCTTACTTTGCAGTTATTGCGCAAGTATTAGAAAAACTTGTTTTCGAACTAAGTGAATTTTAGATCATTCAACATATATATGTATGTATACACACACACATATATACACACATACAATTTCTAAATCTGAGCTTGATAACAGAAGAGCAGCAAAAATTTAAACAGCAACACTAATTGCTTTCTCAAACACAATATATGAGAAATCTTTTGAAGATAATAAACTGATAAAATTTCCTACTAATTCTGAGGAATTTTTTTGTAACTGTATTGAACTACCTTTTATTTCTCATGAAAATCCAGGAATATGTCAAGTATATTTTGGTTGCAACAATAATTTGAAATACTTTTTCTCCCTCTGTAATGGTGTATATATATATATATATATATAAGAATTATATTAAAAAAAAAAACATAGTCCCAATAAGCAGCAAGCACTGTTAATTTCTAATTCCATGAATCATATTGCTTAAAACCATGCATTTGAATACATCCATAAAATTTGATCATTGACTTTTTGCTCATAAGCATTTAAATTGCATATAAGAATTATTTGAAAAAGGAAACATTTTTTAATACAATTTAATTCTGGTTGAATTACGGAGCAAAGCTTTTTTTTAAATAGCGCCATTAAAAGTTAAAACATCTTTTTTATAGAGGTGAAAGTCAGTTATTTCTTAAGAGTCATAGTATGGATTAAATAGATGTATGGATAGTATGTAACAGTATGGATTAAAAGATGAGGCATTTAAATCATGATATACATATTCACTCGTACGATAATATTCAGTTATTACAATATGGAAATGTGACAAAATTATTGCAAAAACTACAAGAAACGGTTTGCAACAGGTGAATGTAACAGTCTACAAACTGGAATATAATTGTCTAAAAACAGAGTTCTGGTTTGAATACGCTCGTTGACAAATGTTTTTGAATAACAATAAATGACAAATTAAAACCTGACAACAAAAACTGCACCTAAAACAAATTATTTGGCATACGTTTCTAGCTTGAATGTGGTTTATTTTTAATAATTAATTTCTGAACTAAAAAATATTGCTGAACAGCACAGAAAACACTTTTATTTTTTAATTTAAAAAGTTATGAGTCTAAAATTTATATTATGAGTGAAGAGATACATCATTCTGAAATACAAAATTTGCGATATAAATCCATGAAGACAAAAATAATTATTACTTAATAACGTTATTTTCGAACTGCGAACAGCGGTGATCCTTCTAACACTATGGAAATAAAAGGAAACGTTGAATGACTGAATGTTAGTTCAAGAAAATCTATGGGTTGATAAACTGAAAGTAACATTTTCCTGTTATCACAAAATACATTTCAACAAGGACCTTGAATTCTGATAACTCAATGAATATTTTAATAAACTGAGACATCTCTTTCATAATTTCCCACATGGCAACAGTATCACGTGACTAGCGGCGAAGTGCATCTCCGCATCACTCAGATGTCGGCCAATCTGAAATGAAATCGACCCTGACGTCAGGAAGAATTCTTTTTCCTAACAAAATACACCGGTTTCCTGTTTCGATCTAATTAATATGCCGTTTCTTTCATTCTAAACCTTCTTTCACATATAGCAATTATATATTTGCTGTTTATTTCTTATTTTGGTTCTCTGGCATTATCCATCGAATCCAACTACAAAGTCGCCAATCGTTAGCGCGTGGATAACAGAAGCTATTTTAAGGAAAGTCGAAACCCCAATATCGACAATGTTAAATTGACCATTTCCAATGTATCTTTCCTCAAAATCTGCTGTAGATACACATCTGAAATTTTTGTGTAATTAAAGTATACCTATCTGATCATATTGAAATGAGATTTGTAATACTTCAAGTCTTAGAGCAATTTATAGAGTATTAGGCATGGTAAAAGTTTTCACTTTTCTCTCATTGGTTTATCACAAAAAGCTCATTTTAATAAATATTAGGAAACACAATAAATAAGCTAGAAAAAAGTTACGTTCCTGTGAGCAGTAGCTTCTGAGAAAAGGTATATGGAGTATTAAAAAAATCACATTTTGGAGATAAACTCATTTTTATGTAAAAATCCTCACTTATTAAAGCATTCGATCATAAATTAAAACTAGACATTTTGCAGTTCTAATTTTGATAGAGATAGCACAGCATTTTTTGAAAGTTAAAAGCGTAGAAAATTTGAAAATGCAAAAATCTCTAATCACAATTTTTGTGAAGATTTTTGGTTTCCAACACCCCTTAAGAGAGCGTTGAAAACTGCATAAAAAAGCAACGAATTAAAAAAATTAGAATCGCAAGAAATATCCATAACGAAACATTGAAAATTACATAAAACAAACATTCATATGGAAAAATTGAAAATTACATAAAACAAACGTTCATATGGAAACACTCAAAATTACGTAAAACTGCAAAAGAACTAAATTAAAAGTGCAACAAACATTCAAATTATAACATCCCGCCCGCCCCCAATGTTCTGTCCATGTGCACAACAATCTGTTTTAACCTAAAAATCATCAGAGAATGACAGAAATATCGACACTGTAGAGCAAACTAACGCTGTTCTCCATCTGCACATCGGCCTGTTTTAACTTGTTGCTTAAAAAACATTATCATTAACTTTATGGAATGAGCATTCCTACATTTTCTAGCACTAGGCAAAACGCCATATTTCTGGGGGGAGAAGAAACACTACTTTATTTTTCATTACATTCCACAGTGGCATTGCAATTCGTTACGAGGAGGAAAAAAAAATTCATACCATAATCACAAAAAACAGAAATCACAAACATGACCTTCAAATTTCAAAACCAGACGCACTTATTTTCAAAATTTCATCACTATATTTTTTTTAGCAAGCTGCTAAAACTCTGTTTCGGGGTTCTCAACCTGGGGGAAATTTCTTAATTTCAGGGAAGAACGCGGTCGGGCTTTTAATTAGCTGTAAAGTATTTAATTTTAGTTTATGAACATAAAAAATACCGTTAAAGAAATTTTGGTATTTACCGATATTTTCTATACTTTTTGTTGTTTAATTTATAAAATATATTAGAAAATAATCTAAATAAATGTATATACGCATTTGTCAAGTTTTAGAAAGGAAGGGGGTTTATGTTTTATTTGATCACAGCAAAGCACTCAAAGGCTATGTGCTTAAGGGGAGGTATGCTTTCGTGGATGATATTCTAGGGAAAACTGGCTTGTATAGATCTTACACATGGGGAAACCACGAAATTCTCATGCAGCCAGCCCGTTCGCGGGATTCAAACCTCAAACCGAGCTACCAGTGTTCAGCGACTTTACTCGGCCGCTGCTGGGTTCAAAAGAAGGGAGGAATAATCTTCAAGCAATGGCGAAAGGGGGAAAAAAAAGATTGAGAGCCCCTGCTATTTAGCACTTCATATATATATATATATTAAATAGTGTCTAGTTCAGAAAAAGCATCTGAAAATGGGATTACATTAATACTGAATATGTTATATCTTGCTGTATTAATAATGAATATGTTAATTATCGTAAATTTTCAGGAATATCTGTTTTAATGCACAGAACATAATTTAGTTTTTCTGACTTCTATAGTGTTGTGTATTGTTTCGTGTACTTATTTATTGTGCATTTTGGTTGGTATATTAGTCATTGTTTTTATTTACTTATTTTTTATGTTTATTTATTGTGTATTTTATTATAATAATGTAATATGTAATAAAATACATAATAAATTTATTGGCTACTTCTTACGTTTGTACGTATATACTTCACGTGTTACGCTGTAAATCTTCTAACTCTGAATTTATTGATGACTGTAATGGCAGCTCAAGTAGAATCAATCTCAAGTCGAGATATCAGAAGAAACCCTCTTGATGGGCCTTTTAGCCAACTTTGGGTATATTCTGTTTATCCACACATCCTCCTGAAAAGTCGCTAACCAATGGCGACTAATTTTTTGCCAATCTAGGTCGGGGAAGACAACAGCCATTTTCAGAAATGGTAGCACTCTAAGCACTCACTTACACAAAGCAGTAACCAATTTATGAAATTTAAAACGCAAAAAATGTCCATAATAAAACCCCTTTTTTTACACTATTTTCACAATGTTCAGAGTGATCAATTTTAACTTCAAAAAGCGTCAACGAATTGCAGAAACTCGACATCGCGCACAACTTGACACTGCAAACTACCCATCTTCCCATGTGCACAACGATCTGTTTTTCACTCAAACAAATATCAGGGAATTGCACACATTTGGCGTCAGTGCAATAATTTCGATCAAGAAAATTTGATAGTTTACTAAGTACAATATCATGGAATGAGAATTTTTGCTTTCTGTAATTTTAGGCAAAGTGCCATCTTTCTGAAGAAACGCAACGCTTCCTTTATCATCAGCCATTCCCACTGCACCACTGCAAAGGCTCCTGCAGACGTTTTGAACGAAGACGTTTTGAACGTTCGAACCAAATAAAAGGCCGGAAACTGTTAACACGTAGAGAGCAAGACGAGGTCCGATATTTTATTTAACTATTTGTCATTCATTTAAAAGTTTATTAAATTTTTAGTTATCTCTTTTAATTTCAATGAATTTTAATTGTAATTTAACTACTTTAATTATTAGTTGTTTCAGTATTTTTTTAGTTACTTTACCCTCCTTCCTGACGGCCTTCCATAAGGCTCGGACACTTCTAATTTTAGAAATTAAGCTTTGGGGACAATTTTTATAACTTCGAAGGTTCTATGAATAACCTTTTTTAGCATGTGTTAATACCAATATACTTCTGAAATAAAATTAACGAAAAGTCACTTAAATTTGTATTAATGTTAAGTATCTATGTTGACAGAACAAAATGCATATTCATTTTTAATAATTCAAAGCTTTTAGAGTTTATATATTCTTTATCTTATTAAATAAAAAATTAAATAAATATTGTTACTCACATTCATGATGTAAATGAGTCTACCAATTCATGGGTACTATTCTGTGTTTGGAATGTACGTTGGGAAAAAGTACCACAGTCATAGAGCCCCTCTTTTGTCTAATTAATTCCAAGTCCAAATTTGTCTCTTTTATCAAAACACTCTTTTGTCAATAAGACTGAAGTGGAAACTTCATAGGGATAGGATAACTGGTTGCAAATTTCATAAAATGTCAGCCTTGAACCAAAAAGTGATAAACGATTGCATGTGTAATTTCCAAATTCTGAGATTTTCAGCTGCAGTGTTATATGCGCAATTGTTATTTTATTTTATTTATTTATTTATTTATTTTGTCCTTTTTGGAAATATAGGAGAACCAGACCACCACAAAGGAAAGTTTCGCCCACCACAGTTCGAGAAAAGAATGTATATTAGTGAGCAATTATCATGACCTTGCTAGGCTTGCCGATTACTTCTTAGCTACCTAAGCCTTTTTTTCCGATTTGCTCTTACTGTAATAGACCTCGCTAGGTTTCCTGATTTTCTACAAGGCCTTTGAACGCAGTCTCCTATTCAGGTTCTTTGCTGAAACCTCCTTTACTGCTTCTTTATTTCTCGGTTTCAGTTCTTGCTCTTGAATTACGAATTTTTCAAATCCAAGTTATCAATTTAGTTATATTTTAAATACGGATATGTTCATAATTGGAATATAGCCTTCCTACCTAATTTGCTTGTGTTCCTGGCAATGTTGCCTGACTCGCTGCTCGTACCACTCTTCTCTTCTATATGAACCAATGTTGCCTGACTCGCTGCTCGTACCACTCTTCTCTTCTATATGAACTCTTGTTTAACTTGCTTAAGCTTGCCTTACAAGTAAATAAGGTTATAATGCAAGTAAGTAATTATAGTATTTAAAGTATGTATACGTACCAGGGGACTGGCGAATATTAGCGTGCTTTTTATTGCCTTACAATTAAATAAAAAAAAGTCTGAAAGCTTTCAGATATTACGCCCAAATGGGTGTTTTTTAACGTTTTATGGGTTACCTTTATTTATTAAATATCCTGTTCTTCTCACTTAAACCATAAAATTCTGTTCAACAATAATATCGGAAAATAATTTTAAAATGAGCCTATCTTTAGAATTTCCGATACACAGGCTCGCTCGCTGGAGACAAAAAAATGTTTTTTCTGTGCAACATTGCCATTGCTCGTTTTGAAATCCTTGAGTTTGTTAATCAAAAATTCGATAAAGTTTCCCGAAATATGAAATAGGTAATATAACAAATTCCAAATGTGGGCCTCCAGATGCCCATATTCGAGTGGAGGACTACGTTATTCAAAATTTTATATCTCTAGGTACCGTTGTTTTTTTACAATGCGAAAAACATACATACAATCATGCAGATTCTTCATTATTTAATTTCTTAAATATAATGCAATGCTATAATAACTGGTGGGAAAAAAAAAAAAAAAAGTAAAAAAAAAAAAAAAAAAAAAACCAGTATGAGGAAAAT